CACGGAAAGAAGCAGAGAAAAGAAATATGCTACCCGGAAGGGGGCGGGGTCCGCTACTGCTGTGCTATCGATGTCGTTACCTTGCCAATGGTGTGCCATCGCCCCCGCCGCCGCCAACTCCGAAACTGCCGACCTTGCCGGGCGCGCTCGCCGCTATCACCAGCAATGATGCCATTGCGTTGCGCTCGGCCACGCTTCCGCCGCGTTGTCGTCAGTGCGTTGCGCTCGCCTCTGCGTTGCGCTCGCCCTCCATTGTCGCTTTCGCCGCCGTCGTCGCTAGCAACGGCCAGCGACGGGAGATGAGAACCGTTTCAACTTGGGTTGACCGGCATCGGAGACGGCGTCGGATGTGTCGTTGGACTGGGGCTCGCGGCCGCAGCGGTAAATATGAAAGCCTACCGCACGGGACGAAACGAACCGAAGGGGATGTTGCCAGCTTGAGTTGCAACTCCATGATCAAAAGCATTGTGTAAAAGACTCGGACCCATCAGAGGCGTAGATGCGAATGGAGCAATGCTAATTCATAGCGCTCACATTGGACACGCTCTGAATAGGCTGTGTGAACTGCACGACGGGTTTTGGGTGCAACAAATTAGTTTACCCGGTCCGGGCGGACAATTGAAACTTGGGGTCGGTTTTTCTAAAACTATGACAGATCGGACAATTCATTTTGAGAACTGAAATTTTTCGCACCTGTAATCGGTTACGTCGCGTCTGCCACTAAAATTCTCAAGTTTGTAGTTGCAGTAAGTAGTACTATCGAAGCACCTGGAGCAATCGGCCGGCGTCCTGCAAAATCTGCAAAAATGCATTTTTCGAGTTTCGAAGCGGACATTCGAGAACGCCCTTTGTCAGGACATTGATTTGATGTATTCAGAGGAAACGGGCTCTGTAGCACACGCTGGAGGTTGGGGCCGTTGCAAGAATTTTGGAGTGGCGAGAATTGGCAGCACCGGGGCACCTAGGCGGACCGCCGAAATTCCCGACGCACCTCACCTAACCATATGAATCCGTTTCGCGTCGAACGGCCTAAGTAATTGCGTTTTTCGCATCTCACGCTACGTAAATGCGAAAACTACTACTGCAATAACACATGCACGTTCGTTCCAATAACCAAATTATCGTTCGAATAATAAACCCTACCAGACCCTGCCGTTTCAATTGCCGTTATAATTGCAAAATCTACCGTTTTAGAATCTCTCACCGTTTCAATATGTAATCGTACCGTTTCAATAATTAGGTATACCGTTTCAATAAACCAATTCGGTTCGTGGCAAGAAGTTTTCGCGGATATAAGGGAGATTGCATTCAGAAGGTTGCTGCCTAGAGACAAATATTTGAGCAACCGGGTAACCATATTTTGATCAGAAATATTGTGGGCCGCAGGACTATGCCAGCTCTACCCCGCGACTTTCGATGGATTTTATCGTTCTAAGAATCGTATAATAGCCGGACTAGCGACCCGCGATCAACACGGAAATACTCGAGATTGATTGTTGCCGGTAAGTACACACGCACCGCCAATTGCAAGGCTTCTCAGACATTACGAGAAAATCAGCACAACATTGAAAACATCATGTGACGAGAAATGCTGCACATTGAAAACATTATCTGACAAGAAATGACCGTCAGTCTCTTGCATCGGCCATGTGATCTTTTAGGGGTTGCTTTGCAATCGCCAGTAGCACGAACTGCCTCCAGAATCGAAGCCGATCTGCCCGAGTCACATCCCGAACCCTCGCCGCCAATGAAGGAACTGGAACTCGCTGAATTATCCTTTCTTCTCCCCGTCCCAACTTTTTATACAATGTCGGCGAGCCTTCAATTCTGCGCGCGCCCTGTCTTGGGCGATTTGCTCAGCCTTCCCTGCCTGTGTCATTAGAAACAAATAAATTTGGAGCGCAACTGAAATCTCATTTCGCAGCCGTCGCCATTGGACGACCAATTGGGGATGTAATCGAAACTGCGCAAGCTGCTAATTATCTTGATATTTGATACCGGGCCAAATGAATTTTGCAGGACCGCCCACAAGAAAAGCAAAGCCACGACGAGAACGACCTCGACAACGATCAAAATGATAACGAACTTGGGAGACCATCCACTCGTCGGAATATGTTTAAAAAATTATTCGGCTCCTACAATGTCGGGTACGAAATGAAAAAGCAAGAAAACAAATAACATGAAAAACAACCATCGAAAAGATAGTCGACGATTATGCTAAGTACACATCCGGAATCGTATATTGAAGGTGTGGAAGGTGGCTTCGAAGACAATAGGCATGGCAAGCTTGGACACTAATTTTTAAAGCAGATGAAAAAAAACACACACATTACACGCCGCGGTCAACATCAAATTTCTCTCAAAATGCGGCGAACGGGTACCACTACCACGGGAAGCGCCCAATCACAGCAATGATTGGTAACCTGGACAACTTCGACTGGCTCGAGACCGCATCCGCATATACACGGGACGAACTCAACAAGCTATCCGGGCCGATCGCTACAAGCATATACTCGACAGGCGAGCTCAACAATCTCATGCTCGCGGAATTTGTGTCGATACTACAGTTGCACAACTACGTAGAGCAAAACTTACATGTTGATCAAATACAATAGTGTGCATCAGACCAGGATCCCGCAGAACGGGCGGCTCTCCGACGACGACGACAACGACGACAGCGACGACAGCGACGACAACGACGACGACGACGACGACGACGACGACGAGGACAAGGACGAGGACGAGGACGAGAACGACTACGACGACAACGACGACGACGACGACGACGACGACGACTACGAGCGACCGCGACGGCGACGGCGACAGCGACGGCGACGGCGACGGCGACGACGACGACGACGACGACGACGAGCGACCGCGACGCGGACGACGATGACGAGCGACGACGACGAGCGACCATAACGACGACGACGACGAGCAACGCCTCCGGAGGTCTCCGGAGGTTTCCCGAGGCCTCCGTGGGCCTCCTGAGGCCCCTGGAAGCCTCCGAAGGCCTTCCGGCGGTCATCCGAAGGCCTCCAAAGGCCCTCGAAAGCATTCGAAAACGTTTGACAACGACGAGAGACCGCGAGCGACGACGACGACGACGACGACGACGGCGGCGGCGGCGACGACGACGACGACGACGACGATATAAGGACCTCTGAGGACCTGATCGCCCGAGAGTCCTCGGAAAACGACTCGAATCCCAAAACCGTGTGGTGATCCCTGAAACCCCACTGTCTCATCACTCGGTGAGGTCACCACACCATTTGGGGGCCCCCGATGTGGCGTCAACCCAAGCAACGAAGAGAAACGGCTCTTACGCAACAAGACATCTTACGCCACGGCTTCGGCGCGCCGCCAGCGTGGCACGCCGTGTGGAGAAGAGGGCGCTGACGCGCGACGTTACGCGGGCAGCCTACGCGCGATTGTCCACGCAGTCCAACCTGTTTCTCTGCGTGGCTCACCTATCCTCACCCGCCCTTGCATCCTCCTCGAGACTGGCGCTGCGGCAGCTGGCGGCCGGCGGCCGGCCCGCGTCGGGTGCCCAGCCTCATATCCGCCGCACCTTGCTGTGCCCGACCCGCAGCGGCGTGGCCTGCTCGCGCGAGTCCCGCCTCTCGCCTCACGCCTCTCCGCTCCTCCCCTCGACAAGTGCACCAAAGGAGCACTGCGCTCCTCTCACCGCCGACAGTGTGCGCGTGCGGTGAGGCATCATTCGCGTGTTGTTTGCCCACGCTCAACTTGCCATCGCTCGGACGCCTATTTCGTGTGCATGTGTCGGCTTCGTGCGCTTATTCTTCGCAAGATAATGCCAGATGCTCCTCCAGGGTCCTCGCCGAAAAAATGCACACGTCCGAGCGATGCCCACGCTCAAAATATTCCAAATATTCGCTTCGCATTTTATACTTTGTCGTCGGGTCCTCGCATCGAATCCGCGACGCCGTGCCCCACAGCCCTCCCGCCTCCCCACCCCTTTCCTTCCGTCTCTCTGCCTCTACTTATGGGCACGCTCATCACACGCATCGGGCCCCCATAAGTGACTCAACCTACGGCCCGATGGGTGCGTTCGAATGCCGTCTCCGCGCCCACTTCGGCAAACTCCTTACAAGGATCGTGGCCTTTAGTGAGCTCAAACTGTTGCCCCAATGGATACGTTCGCATGGCGTCCCCGAACCCAATACGGAACGACCCCCGCGCAGATCGTGCCGCGAAGGGAGCTCAACCCATGGCCCCAGTGGATGCTTTCCATGGCGTCCCCGCGCTCTATTCGGCACATCCCTCAACCAGATTGTACTTCACGAGGAGCTCCACTGATGGCCCAGTGAGTGCGTTCAGTGTATCCCAGCGCCCATGTCGACACACCCCTCACGCGGATCGTGCCTTAAGGAACTCCACCTACGGCCGTCCTCTAGTGAAGGCGTGCACATGCGACCCCCGCCCATTTCGGCACACCCCTCACGCGGACCGTGCTCCACAGGGACCCGAATTCTATCCATCCCATGGCGAGCAATATATGAGGAAAGGGCCAGGCCTTGCGCCACAAGCAATTTCATAGGGTTGGGCCCTTCGCAAAGCCAATTTTTGGTCGGAACGCTCTCGGCCCGTCAAGATGGTGGTCCCCCTGCAGCACTGGTCAGGCTTCAGGATCGGTGCTGTGTTCCCGTCGTTCAGGAAGGCACTCTTGCCTCAGCGTGGGCCACAATTCTAGATCCGATTCGTTTCTCGTCGTTGCAGTCCCCTCATGTCCAGTCTTCCACGTTCCCCTTCTCCTTCTGTTCCTGCTTCTCCTCCAGCTCCTCCGCCTCTGCCTTCTCCTTCCTGATCCTCATCTCTTCCGCATCCTGTTGAATTGCCTGCCTGCTGTTGTTGCTCATCTTCCTGCTAAGTATCAGCGCCCAATTCCGCAGGAAACAATATATAAAACTGCAGCTGCCATCTGGGCATCAAGGTCCTCTAGACTCCCGAGCCAGCGGATCGAGAAGGATTCAATGCACTGGGAAGAAATGTCAGATGTGGCCCGAGCACACCTAGCTTCCCCCCCTTTCTCCTCTCCCCTCAACTTTCTCCCCTTCCAGCCCGCCCTCCCCTTACTCATGCTGATATTACTGTTGCCCCCCGTCTTTATTGCTCCCAACCCTTCTAGCTGTCGGGTCCTCAGTTTGAGTACCAGCGCCACGCGTCCCACCTACTCCTCAACTTCACCTCCTCACTCGTATTTCTCCACCTCTTCCTGCCTATGCTGTCTGCTGATTTCGGAACACCCCTCACTCGTTTCGTGCCCCCAAAAGAACGTTCGCACAGCGTCCACCCCACCCATTCTGGCACACCCCTTACGCGTTTCATGCCCCACGATACTCGATAAACAAAATGGCATCAACATCGAGTTCCGCAGGTCCGCGATGATTTCTTAGATCGGTTCTTCGACCTGCGGCCCCGGGGACAAAAGTCCTCACAACGTCCCTACCCGCCCGCCGCCCATTCGGGCACACCCCTGACAGATGTGCCGTGCCCCTCGGGAAGCGCTGGGCGCGCCGACGCGACAGGAGCCTCGGTCCCGCCCGCCCCCCCCTGGGGCTTTGTGTGTGTGTGTGTGTGGAGCTCCCGAGGGCACGAAACGCGCCGCGGCTTCCGCAGGCCGCCAGCGTGGCACTGCGTGGAGAAGAGGGCGCTCATGCGCGACCTTACGCGGAAAACTTACGCGTGAATGTCGGCGCAGTCAACAGCGCTTTCTTCCATCGCTCCAGTGGGCGCGCCGACGTTTTAGGATCGCCTACACTGGGATCGCAGGTGGGGCTCCCTAATCGAGGAGCACGATGCGCGTGATGGGTGAGGCGAAATGGACGGGGGCGACACTATAAGAACGCCTCCACTGTGGCTGCAGGTGGAGCTCCTCTACCGCGGAGCAAGATCCACGTGATGGTTGTGCCTGAGTGGGCGCGTCGACGATGTAGGGGCGTCCCCGCTGGGGCCGCAGGTGGAGCTCTTCTACTGTGAAGCACGATCTGCGTGAGGGGTGTGCCGAAATGGGCGCGCCGACGGTAAAAGGAGCCCCTCCTTTGGGGCCACATGTGGAACTCCCTCTGGGGCGCGCTCCGCGCGAGGGGTGTGCGGAAGTGGGCGCGGGGACGCTGTGAAATCGCACCCGCTGGACCACAAGCGGAGCTCCCGACTCGGGCTTCAGGCGCGCCCGATCCCCAACACGGTGAAGGAGGGAGAGGGAGGGAGAGGGAGGGAGAGGGAGGGAGAGGGAGGGAGAGGGAGGGGGAGGGGCTGTCCTCGCTGCCGCGGGAGGTGAGGGCTTCTCCTTGGGCTACTGGTGGGGGGCTCCAGGCTCGCCCACGGCCGCAGCGACGGGTCGCTCAATGATGCTGCGAAGGGAATTCAGAGGGCGAGGGGGAGGGCGAGGAGGAGGGCGAGAAATTCGGAGGGCATAGGAAATTCGGAGGGGGAGAGAAGGAAGGAGGGAGGAACGGGCGAGCTGAGAGTGGGCGAGGAGGACCTGATTGCGACCAGGACATCTCGAACCGGATCGGCCCCATCGAACCGACCGGAGCGGACGATCGGGCCCATTACCAGGGCTCCCGAAAGCACGACTGCGGCTGCAAACACCGGCCCCGATCATGCCAAGGCCAATCCTGGACCCAGGACGACGGGGAACGTCAGGGGGGGGCCAGCTCGGGGTGTGAGGAGAAACATCGAGCTGGAATCGGTGACTCGTCCTCCTCCTCCTCCTCCTCCTCGCCGATAGATCGGGCGATGGGCTGCCGATGGCAAATCCACGCGTTCCTGGACGGGGCGGGCTGCTGGGCCCTTGTCGGCGACGAGTGGACGATTGGGGGTCGACGCGTCCCTCCCGGAGCCTGTCCCACATTGACGCTGCCCCTGGCAAGACTGGCCTCCCCATGGCGGGTGCTGGTATGCAGCCGGCGCCCCCCGTCCACACGGCCCTTGTCCTCGTCGTCGCCCTCCTCCTCCTCCTCCTTCTCCTCCTCCTCCTCCTGCTCCTGCTCCTCCCCTTCCTCCTCACCACCACCACCACCACCACCACCACCACCACCACCACCACCACCACCATCATCATCATCATCATCATCATCATCATCATCCTCATCCTCATCCTCATCCTCATCCTCATCCTCATCCTCATCCTCATCCTCATCCTCATCCTCTCATTCCTCATCCACATCCTCATCCTCATCCCTCATCCCTCCTCATCCTCATCCTCATCCTCATCCTCATCCTCATCCTCATCCTCATCCTCATCCTCATCCTCATCCTCATCCTCATCTCATCCTCATCCTCATCCTCATCCTCATCCTCATCCTCATCCTCATCCTCATCCTCATCATCGTCATCGTCATCGTCATCGTCATCGTCATCGTCATCGTCATCATCATCATCATCATCATCATCACCACCACCACCACCACGACCACCACCATCACCACCACCACCATCATCATCAGCATCATCGTCATCATGCTCCAACTCCTCCTCCTCGTCAGCATCATCGTCATCATCATCCATATCCTCATCCTCATCTTCATGATCCTCCTCATCATTGTCGTTATCTGCTCCTCCTCTTCATCATCAGGATCATCATCAGGATCATCATCACCATCATCATATTCTCTTTATCGTCATCATCATCATCATCAAAACTTCTGCCATCACCACCACCACCATCATAACCACCACCACCATGATCATCATCATGATGACGATCATCAGCATCATCATCATCATCATCATGATCATCATCAGCGTCATCATCATCATCAGCAGCATAATCATCATCAGCATTAGCATCATCATTAGCATCGTTATCACCATCAACATCACCATCGCAATCATTGCCATCATCATCATCCTCATCTACATCCTCATCTGCATCCTCATCCTCATCCGTTTCCTCATCCCCAGCACCATCATCATCATCATCATCAGCATCATCAGCATCATCATCATCATAATCATCATCATCGTCATCGCCATCCTCATCTTCATTATCCTCCTCATTATTACCATCATCATCCTCATCCTCCTCCTCCCCAGCAGCATCATCATCGTCATCGTCATCGTCATCATCACCATCAGCATCACCATCGCCGTCATCATCATCATCATCATCATCACCATCATCATCATCATCCTCATCCTCCTCATCTGCATCCTCATCCGCATCCTCATCCTCATCCTCACCCTTCTCCTCCTCCTCCTCCTCCTCCTCCCCAGCAGCATCATCGTCATCGCCATCGTCATCCTCATCTTCATCCTCGTCCTTATCATTATCATCATCCTCCTCCTCTTCATCATCACCAGTATCATCATCATCATCATTATCATCATCACTTCCACCATCACTACCATCATCACCATCACCATCATCATTACCATCACCATCATCATCATCATCATCACCATCATTAGCATCATCATCACCATCACCATCATCACCACCACCATCACCAGCATCGTCATCATCATCATCACAGTATACCACCATTACCATCATCACCATCACCGTCACCATCATCACTATCAACATAATCATCATCATAATCATCGTCATCTTCATAATCATCCGCATCAACATCATCCGCATCACCACTAGCAACATCGGCATCGTCATCATCACCATCACCATCACCATCACCATCATCATCATCATCCTCATCTTTATCCTCATCCGCATCCTCATCCTTATCCTCATTGTCATCCTCCACAGCATACTCATCGTCATCATCTCTCATCCTCATCCTCATCTTCATTCTCCTCCTCATCATGTTTCTCCTCCTCCTCATCACATTCATCGTCAGAATCATCATCATAATAATAATCATCATCACTCCCACCATCACAATCATCATCATCATCACAACCACCATCATCACCATCATCATCACCAGCACCAGCACCATCATCATCACCATAACCATCACAATCACCATCATCATTATGACCAACATCAGCATCATCATTACCACCACCATCATCATCATCATCACCACCATCGTCAGCATCGTCGTTATCATCACCAGCAGTACCACCACCACCACCACCATCATTTTCATCATCATCATCATCATCATCATCATCATGATCATGATCATCATCATCATCATCATCATCATCACCACCACCACCACCACCCAGGCTCCCCCAAGCCCAACCCAGGCCACGGTTGGACCCCAGCGCGCGGCCGCCAGCTTGCTGATGTCGATGCGCCTGAGGTGCGGCAACGAGCGGGCCAGCGAGGACGTCTCAGCGGGGCGGCAGTCGTCGCTGGCCTGGGGCCGCGCGGAGGCGGGGCCCGCGCCCACGCGCGGCGGGCAGCAGGAAAGGGTCAGACCCCAGCGGGTCTGGTCGAACGAAAAGGAAGGTCAGTAAAGAGGGCGTTCGCGCATCAGCTCACGTGTGACCGAAGTCTCTAGGAGAGGACACGCGAGGAGGACAAAGAGCCTTCCGGGGCCACGTTGCCATAGGGATGTAGAAGGCAGAAGTCGCTGGACACATGACACAGGGGTAGCCTTGATCTGGCAGGGCCGACCTACTGACTCATCAAACCCGACTGCAGCTGATTCCTCAGACGCCTCCCGGCGCGGGAGGCGCCAACGCATCGAGGAAGGAGCCCAGTGGCGGGGCCGGAACCATGATGGGCGTGTTTTCCACCACCACCACCATAAGTTGGAGGATGGGTCCTCCTCCTCTCCTCCCTCCTCTCATCCTCCTCCTCCTCCTTCCCTCCTCCTCCTCTCCTCCTCCTCCTCCTCCTCCTCCTCCTCCTCCTCCTCCTCTCCTCCCCCTCCTCTCTTCCTCCTCCTCCTCGGCCTCCTCCTCCTCCTCCTCCTCCTTCTCCTCCTTCCCCCTCCAACTTATGGTGTGGTGGTGGTGGAAAACAGGCTCATCAAACCAGCCGCGCGCAGCAGACTGCGCCCCCCCCCCTTTGCGTGTCCCCTCCCCTCGTCCGACCTGGATGGGGCGGGTGAGATCCCCGGGCCTCAGCGGCCCAAGTCCCCATGGACGGGTCGGGCCACGGCGAGCCTCGCCCGCGCATCGCGCGCGCGGCACTGGAGACAGAGGAAGGCCCTTGGACTCCTGGGAAAACCATCTCGACTTCAAGGTTGAGATTCTGCGCTCCACGATTTGTTTTATTAGAAAGAATAAAACAAACAATTTTTCTTGAACAACAACCTCACTCGAATAAGCCCACGACTAAGCCCGTTGGCATGCCGATGGAGCCATTGCCGGGGTCCTTTGTGCTCCCCGGGGGCTCCTTTGTGTTCCACTGGGAATCCCTGGGCCTTCGGACCCCTGTCGATTCCAGCGGATGCCTGGGGGACCTCCGCGCTACTCTGCATGGGGCAATCATCGCCCCCCCCTTGGATCCGCTGGGGCGGTTGGGCACGCGCTGTCGGAACGGGTGGAGGGGGGTTGGAGGAGGAGGAGGAGGAGGAGGAGGAGGAGGATGGGGAGGACGAGGAAGAGGAGGAGGAGGAGGAGGAGGAGGAAGAGGAGGGGGAAGGAGGAGGAGGAGGGGGGAGGATGGGTAAGCTCCGTCGGAAGGTTAGTTGCCAACTCCTCGATTGATCCGCCGACCCTGTCGGCGTGTGCGAGGGGCTTCTCCGTTCGAGTTCTCGTCTCCGTCGTCTCCTCGTCGTCTTCGTCGTCGTCACAGTCGTCTCCTCGCCGTACCCGTCCTCCCTGGTCCCTTTTCCTGGGCCCTCCTCAAGCGTGCCATACAAAGCGAAATTGTGCAACGTCGTATTGGAGTCGAAGGAAGCCCCTTCCCTTTGATCCCTCCCCTGCGGGGGGGGGGGGCGGTCCTGGGGCGGGGTTCGGCGACTACAATGGGTGCGGTTTGCGAAGTGTGCGGTTTGCCTCCTGTCATGCCTGCCCTTCCCGCCCCCGGAAAAGGGATGACACTGTCACTCAGTGCGACCGAATCACATGACACTGTCGCTCCTTCTAGTACAATGGAACACACATCGAAGATGACAGTGTCGCTCGAAACGACGACAGTCATGACATTGTCTCTCACAAAGGTCCCGGAAAGGCCGCCACAAAACCACTCGCAAACCGCACCCCGGCGTAACCGCACCGATGGTAGTCGCCGAGGGGTCTCCACCCAGATTCGTTTTCCCCCGGGCGGCTCCGACATATCGAACAGCCCCAGAAAGAACCCAGAAAGCCGAAGATGACTCCAAAGAACGCCCACAAGAGCCCCGTGTCGTTCAAAGATCGGTCCAACACGGCCAAGATGGCCCCAAAAAGATCCAAGAAGCCTCCTAGACGTCCCAGGAGCTCTCCAAAAACACCCCCACCAAGGCTCCAAGAGGCTCCTCCCCTCCTCCTCCTCCTCCTCCTCCTCCTCCTCATCTGTCCCCCTCCTCTTCCTCACATGGCCAGGGCCTGGCGCAGGGAAATGTCACGCGAAGCGGCCAGACGGAGTCGGACGCTAGATCGCCCCTGGAGCCAAGTTCGAGGGCCAGCTTCTGCTTGTAATCTTACGCTGCTGAGGCTGGGCTGGTCCTGGCCTAGCTGGCACACCATCCGCATTCACACTGGTGAAATGTTTGACATGCGCCGATCGGCGCCCAGCACGCTGCGCAAGTATATTTACCTTCGTTTAGAGGATCAAGAGCTCACCGACTGGGCAACGCATCGAGGCATGCCCTTTCGGAAGCCCTTCCTCGAGCCTTGTCGCGCAGCAGTCAGGACAAAAAAGAAAAAGGGCCAGAAGCAGTCGGCTATGCTAGCTTTCCTGTGCAGCGATTTTTGGACGCAAGATAAAGTGTGGAGAGCAGGCCACTCGGAAGATCGAAGTTGTCAAAAGTGCGGGCACGCCATCGGAAATCAGCACCATAGATTTTGTAGGTGTCCAGCTTTTCAGGAGCAGCGCCAGGCTGCAGGTGAATCTTATCCTGATATAATCCACCGTGCCTCCTCCTCGTGCTCCTCCTCCCGTCTCTTCTCCAGGGCTCTCGCGCCTCACCCACTGGGGGACCCCTTCCAGGACGTCACGCCCAGCATTGAGACCCTGGACCCCGAGTACGGGGACGATCCCCTTCTCTCGGGCCTGGCCTATTCGGATGGGTCGGGGGTCGGGGTCTCTGGGTTGAAAACGTTCGGTTGGGGCCTCTGCTTTGTTGACCAGCACGGTAATGTACGCAAAGCGATGCATGGCACGGTTCCAGGAGTAAGGCAGGCACAAAGTGTGCTTAGAGCTGAATTGTATGGTTTCTTGAATGTTCTTCGTCACGGCACAGCCCCTCTGCAGGTAGGGATCGATAATTCCACAGTCGTTCGGGGCTTCAGGCGAGGCCCAGTTTGGTGCCGCCAAGCCAGGCGACCGCATGCCGATTTATGGCACATGATTTGGAATGCGATTGAGGATTCGTTCTCGGGGGAGGGGGACCTCGTCGTCGTCAAGGTCAAAGCGCATTCCAAAAAGGCTCAGGCCCAGCAGCTCGAGGGACTCGAGCTGTGCAACTACCTAGGGAATCAATGCGCCGACCTTCAAGCGAAGGAGGGAGCCAAGCTAGACGCCATCCCGCCTCACACTCGTGACGCGTGGGTGTCTAGGTTCAAGGAGGTTTGTGCTGTTCTCGGGCTCGTCGGTGACATGACTTGTAAGATAGGCACGTTTGACGACACCACAGGCCGTCTCCAGAATGCCCCCCAGCCCCCTGGCCCTCGGCCGCGCCGTTCGGTGCTGCCTCCTCCAGAGTCTCGGCATGTCCTGGAGTGGGATAGGGGGTCTTGGAGGTGTGCTTGTTGTGCTAGACGGGCCCACAGCTATAAGGCCAAGCTGGTGTTGTCTCGTAAGTTTTGCAGGAAGGGTTTCTCCTCCCACGGTAAGTGGAAGAAGATAGCGCGTGTCGACGGGGCTCCTTTGCAGGGGCCAAGGCGACACAAGCTGTCTCGAATAGGCCACTATACCTTCTGTCGAGAGTGCGGCGCCTTTTTGAGCGCCAGGGCTTGTGGGTTACTTGCTGGATGTCCTAAGGACCCGAAGGACCACAACGCCAAGACTCGACGAAATCGTTTGCTGGCAGGTAAGCATCCGTATAAGAATGAGAGACTGCCTGGAGAGGTGGTCGCGCTGTCAAGAACCCAGGAATTGGATTTTCTGGAGTCGATTGGGATTGCTGCCAGGGCCTCTGCCGCTGGAAGCGGCGTGGAGGCACTTTCTTCCTCCGCCGCCTCAGGCGGTGCGGAGGTCTAACCAGGTCTGTCGCAGGTGGACGCGAGGTGCTCGCCCACGCTGTGCTCGCGGGAAAAACCCTCCTCTTCCTCCTCCTGGTCCTTCTACTACTCCTCCTCCTCCGCCTTTCTCTCCTCCTCTCCCTCCTCCTCATTATCCTTCTCCTTTTCCTCATCATTCCCCAATCAATGCTTGCACTGGAGCGGTCCTAGCGGATGTTGAAACATTTGGCGAAATTTCCCCGCCGATTTTGGTGGCCCACTGGGTTCCCGGGTTCCCGGTTCCAGGTTCCGGGGTTCCCGGTTCCGGGCCGATTTCGGAGGGCGGCGAGGTTCCCAGGTTCCTGGGTTCGTGGCCTATCTTCTTATCGATCGGTCTCAACATCGATTTCATTCCCGACTTCTCGATCGATCTCACCATCGATCTCACAATCGATCTCACTATCAATCTCACAAGCGATATCACTAGAGATCGCATGAGCGATCTCGCGATCGATCTCACTATCGATCTCATTGAATCGATTTCACTCTCGGTCTCACGATCGACCTTACAATCGTCCTCACTATCGATTCCGATTCCACTATCGATCTCATTATCGATCTCACAATCGATCTCAAGATCCGTAGTATCAATTTTCAAATCATCCACTGATTGGGTTTTCTCAGGAGTAATGCATTTCGTCCTCCTCTTCTTTCTGATTCTCCTCCTCCTTCTCCTCCTCCAGCCCCCTTCCCCCCTGATCCCTTTCCTCCTGCTATCCTCTGCCTCCTCCTCCCCCCCTGCTCCTCCTCCTCATCCTTCCCCCCCTCCTCCTCCCTCATCCACTTCCTGCACCTCTTCCTCCTCCTCCTGCCACTCCTCCTCCTCCTCCCCCTGCACCCCAACCCCTCCCTTCCATCTTCGTCTTCAGGGTCGGCGGCACCGGCCGTAAGGCCTTCGCGATATCCAACTCAGAATAGCGCAGACTTTCTCATCCAAGTGTTTCGACGCCCGAAATGGGTACGGAAAGAATGGTCACAATGCCCAACAACAAATGTTGCCCCAAACCAACAGCGGCCGCTGTTGGGCAGACGGCCTCCTGCCTCAAATGGACACAGGCCGCGGCAACACCGACAGCGAGTCCGGTTCAAAATGAACATGAACTGCTGTTGGGCATTGTACCCATCCTTCCCGTACCCTTAAGTCGGGCCTGTCCCCCTACAGGGGGATTTCCGACGAAAAAATGAAAAAATACCCTCAAAATAATCCAAACATAGTCTGGGGACTATTTTTTGATTATTTGTTGGCTTTTTTGGGGGTACTTTTTGGGGATTCTTTTTATATAAATTTTTCGTCGACAATCCCCATGTAAGGGGGACAGGCCCGACTTAAAAGTTGGCCCGTCTTCTCTCCGCCCCACGCCGAGGCGACCCCGGCGGGCGAAGCAGCGCGAGACCGCCTGCGCGTGGCCCGCGGGCCCGACGCTGTGGGCCCGCCCCGCACCGAGGCCGTGGCCGTGTCGGTGGCACAGAGGGCAGCGCGGCCGCCGCCGCCCCGCGGCGGAGCTGGCGACCCTCGGGCCGGGCGAAAGGGGGGGACAGCAAAGGGGGGGTCTGAGAATCAGCTCGCGTAGCTGATTTTCCCGGCGCCTCCCGGCGCCGGAGGCGGCCATGTATCGAGGAATGGGCCCCTCGGTGGGGCCGAATCCAGCTGCATGCAGCAAATTTCGTCCCCCCCCCTGTCCCAATCCCCCCCTTTCGTCCGGCCCGAGCCCCGACCTCCTCGCGGCGTGCGGCGGTGCAGCGGACAGGCGATCGTTCTCTTGCTCGGGTCTCGACCTGGGGCGGAGAGGGGTGGGGGGAGGGGGGGGGGGCTTCGATCCGCTGGTGCATCGAACTTCCGAAAAAGATGCCCCCCGTGCGCCCCGATTGTCGACGCCTCTCGGGTTCCTCCGGCGGCCGGAGACCTCGTTTTGCATCGTTTTCCTGCGGTTCCGTGCGCCAGCGAACCGAACTCCCCCCCCCCCGTGGCCCCCCCCTTTGCGAGGCCGCAACGGACGGGGGGGGAGGGGGGGGGTTCTTGCTCTGGACCTCTGCTGAGTGCGACTGCTTGCAACAGTGCGTCCGATGGGGGAGACCCTACCTGCTCGAAACAGGCGCCCCAAACAGCCAAGATCCAGTCCATGGGTTGGGGGGGGAAAGGGGCGGGTGCGAGGGCCCGCGCCGATCGGCAAAACACTGAATAAGAAAACGATCACCAATGGTTTGATCTGTTTCGAATTTCGGGGCCGTTGCGAACGACCTGAGGTGAAAAACCGGTCTCTGGAAGGGGTCCACAGACCTTCGGGAAACCACGCTGTTGCACAAAAGCGCGACGCCGGACGTTGGGACCCTCACAGGCCGAGCATGCACTTGCGGACCGGCAGGCTGCGGGGGTTTCTTGCGGGCGGCTGGCTGCCTCGAGACGCCCTGCACTCGGCAGCGCGCACAGAGGGGTAGGGGGAGGGGGGGAGGCTTCTTAGAAGGAGGCTGCTTCTTAGAAGGTGCGGGCCTTACATCTACAGACAGGGCTCGCGCCTTCTAAGAAGCAGGGGTGCCTCTAAGAAGCCTCCCCCCCTCCCCCATGCCCCCCTCTGAGCGTGGCTGATGCACGCCGCCGCTCCAATCTCCGTGGGCCGCGCGGCCGTGTCGCGGTTGCCCGAGCACGGTCCACGAGGCGGCAGAGCTTCCACCTGCAGAGCAGTGGCATGCCGACATTGCCGACGAGCAGCCCGTCCTGGGCCCCGTGACATCGCGCCGACCCCGCCGGCGGTCCGAGCGCGTGGGGACAGAATGCAGACCTGGAGCCCCCCTGATGACCCGAGGAAACGGGCGCGCGCCCCCTCCCGATGCTGGACCTGGCAATGCACTGACTTGGCCGTGTATACGCACATACACATATGTGTGGCCAGTATCGGTGCGGAACGAAAGTCCCCCCCGGGATCGCTCGTCCTGGGGCTTTCGTGCTGGGAGCACCGCTGGTGCGGCCGGTACGAAAGCACGAACATCCCTCGAGGTGCCTCCGCGCACCGCCGGTACGGGCCGGTACGAAATCCCCCGGGATGCTCGCGGGGAGCGCGTTTTCCTTCACCTCCTCCTTCTCCTGGTCCTCCTCCTCCTCCTCCATCTCCCCCTGCGGCCTCCCTCCAAGGAGCGGGAGCACCCGGGGAGCGCTTGCGAGCGCCCTCGGCGCCTAGGAGCGTGGGGGTTCGCCCTCCCCTCCTCCTCCCCTCCTCCTCCCCCTCCCTTCGCCCCCCCTTCTCCTCCCCTTCTCCCCCTCCTTCTCCTGCGGTCTCCCCGGGGGTGCGCGGGAGCGCCCCCACGCGGACGCCCACGCCCATAGCAGGACCCCCCCACTCCTACAGGAGGGGGGTGGGAACGGGTCGTCGGCGGCACCTGGTGCGCCCAGTACAGAGGCCCGCGGGGAGGGGGAGGAGGGGGGCTTCTGGGCTGTCAGCCGCACCCGGTGTGGCTGGTACGAAAGCCCCTGGGAGGGGGGGGGGTCTTCCGTGCCACCCGGCACCACTCACATGTATATATATATATATATACATATATACATATATATGTATATATATATATATATATCACGTTTGAAGAGAAGGGCAAGGAGGAGGCACGACAAATTCAGGAGGGCGCCAAGAAAGCTCCGGAAGTCCGAAAACAGAGCCTGAAACTGTGTTACGCGAGAGCCTCCTTGCGCAACTTGATTGTGCAGTGTCTTGGGTGAACTCGTGGGGCACCTTTGGGTCTGAGCACCGCCCTGGAGGGCCCAGGTCTCTTGAGGGTTTCTTCGGAGCCTCTGGGAAGTCTCTTCGGGCTCCTCGGGGGGAGGGGGAGAAGGAGCAGGATGATGAGAGGAGAAGGATAGGAAGGAGGAGGAGGAAGAGGAGGCGGAGGAGGAGGAGGGGGAGGAGGGGGAGAAGGGGGAAGGGAGGGGGAAGAAAAGGGCCTCTTGGGGCCCCTGGGAGGGTCCGAGGGGCACGTTGGGACCCATTGTTCGCCAGGTCTTGCGCCCTCTCGGAGGGTCTCTCTTTGGGCCTTCTTGGACCGTCTGGGGGGATGGTGGTGGTGGAAAACATGCCCATCACTCTTGAGTCATTTTGGAGCTCTCTTGGGACGTCTTAGGGCGATCTGGGAGGGCCCTGGGGCCGTCTCAGGCTGTTGGAAGCTGGACAAAGCGAGATTGCTAACATCGTGGAATAACAATTGTCTTGGGCAGTCTTGGGGGAATCTTGGTGTTTGCTGCACCCATCTCGGGGCTGACCCTGGGGTAAAGAGCAGGTACCAAGGGGGAAGGAGGAGTTTGGGAAACGTGTGCTGCCCCGGGGCCCCGACGCCAGTGGCATCATATATGTGGCTACTTCCTTGCATGTCTTGTGGCGCGAACGACGGAAGCTGAGCCCTATACGGGATGGAGTCCCGTCTGGGTGGCATTCCACGGGGCGTTCTCCTCCTCCTCCTCCTCCTCCTCCTCCTCCGCCTCCTCCTCCTCTTCCTCCTCCTCCTCCCTCCCACTTCTTCCCTCCCCCTTCCCCATCGGCACCTCCGCCAGGTACAGCGCGCGCGAGGAGGCGTCCTCGCCTGCCCCGGGCTCGAAACATGAGAAAGAGAGAGAAAGAGAGAGAGAGAGAGAGAGAGCACGAGAGAGAGAGAGAGAGCACGAGAGAGAGAAAGAGAGAGAGCACGAGAGAGAGAGAGAGCACGAGAGAGAGCTCGAGAGAGAGAGCGCGAGAGAGAACGGCGGAAGCCCGCGCCTGTCCCAAACCTCCAGCGTCGTGCTCTTGACCGACCGTGCCCCTGCCCCGAAACACCAGGCCCCTGCCAGAAACACGGCCTTGCATCCCGCCCTCCTCGACGCTGGTTCCCACGACGCGCTGTCTACATACTTTCACCCGTCGGGTGGGGCGGCAACATCCTGGGAGTCGGCAGTGAGATCTTGGTGCCCGAACACCGGGTAGCACCGCAATTCGACATCGCGGCGCCCTGTTTCACCTTGCTCGCGCGCCGTCTGGCGCTAAGCTTCTCGTTCGTTCGTTCATCCCGCGTTCCTCGATGGCCCGAAGGCCAGAAATTGCCCCTGGAAGCCGACATTTGGGAAGCATGCTGGGATTGAAAATACATGTCGGCAAGATGTCTGGGAAAGCATCACTATTAAATGTGCGTCTGTACATATACACGTGTGTAAATACATTTATATGATATACGCAGATGTGTTTACACGTGTACATGCAAAAACAAAAATACAGAGAGGTGAGCGAGAGAGAGAGAATGAGAACGGCAAAATGACGCGCTCGTGGGCCTCCCTTCCGCAATTCCCTGGCCTCTTGTTCGCGAGCCGCGCGGCAGGACTTCAGGCAAGAGAAACCTCCACAGGAAGCCACGACCTGAAACCGAATAATCTCGGTTGTCGCCGCCAGACTTTGAACCCCTGGGCTTCTCATTCGATCTCCCAAAACCGCGGGTAGTTTCGAAGGTACTCGCGTGTGATTCTACACTGTACTAGTTTACATGTCTGGTCGTTGGACATGCTCTCTATGCTTGGCGTACACGCATGCTGCTTCTTGTGTAATTGATGTGTGGGAATTTCTTGTGTTATTCGTGAATGATGGTCAGCTCGTTACTTATGAAGGCTGCACACAACTGTTATGTCGAAAGCGCATGTTCTTGATATACGATTGTGATGCATGGGGGTCCCCTCTTGATGTCATGTCTATACGTTTTTTTGGCGTAGTTTATTGGGGCATGTCCATGGTATCGGCGTCTGCTGCCTGTTCTGAACACGGGGTCTATATGCGCATCCTTGATACATGGTCGTGGTGTTTTGTTTGTCCTCGCTGTGTGTCCTTGGTTCGTTCCTACGTTGGTTAAACATTATGTTGGCGATTACTGTACGTGATGTATGTCAGTGTTGCATGTTACGGGTGTATAGTATTATCGGTATGTCAATGGAGCATGCTCTTGCTGTATGATAGCTGTGTTAATTGATGTGCAGTATCATTGTTGTCTGCTATTGGTGCTTGTTACAAGTGTATGTTCATGATGTCTGCTCTTGCTGTGTGTCCTTGATGCCCGTTACCGATGTGGGCCTTTGGTTTATGTGATTGGTATGCAGAGTCGGTGTATGTGGATGATGCCTGTTATTGAAGAGTGTTCGGTGTATATTCTCTCTACATGTGAATGGCGCCTATTAGTGGTGCACGGTCTTGGCTCTTGTTATTTGTAGCTGTTGAGCTTTCTGGAACGGGCGTCTGTCCTTGTTGTATGTCATTGGTGTATGGTGTTGATGCGTCTTCTTAACTTTTATAGGTTATGGCTTTACGTTCCTGATACGCCTCGATGACCCCGATTAGTAATACAGATTGTGCTGTCGGCTTTGATGTCTGTCCTTGATGTGTGCTGCTCTTCATGAACGCTCTGGATGGCTGTTGTGCTATTTGCTTTTGGCGCCTGTCCTTGATGTGTTAGCTATGCGTATTCTGGAAACTTGTTCGTGATGTATGTTTTTGTTGATGTGCTGTTGGTGAATATGGTTGATGTCTGTCCTTGGTGTCTGTTCTTTGTGCCTGTCATTACTCTCTGGTCTTGAAGAGTGTCATTGGTGTCTGCTCTGAGTATGGAGTGGTGCAGCGTGGTCTCGCAGTCTTCTACGGATGCCTATGCTCGACGTGCGCTACTTGTGCCTGTTCTTGATGTGCGTGATTGGTGTGTGCCCGTGATGTGTTCTTGGTGCCAATTCTTGCTGCCTGTTCTTGAACTGCGTATGCATGTGCATATACGTGTATATGCGTTTTGCTGCGTGCTACTTTGCACAGTATTGGTTCATTCGTTTTGCTTCCCTCTCTTGATGCATGGTCATGCTGTCTGTACTTGAAGTAGATATCTGTCATGCGTGTTTCGCATTGGTGTCTCGAACGTGTGCGTTTTTGGTGTCTGGTGCCGATGCATGTTCCTGATGTTTATCGTAGGTGTACATTGTTCGTGCTCATTTGTTGGAGGAGATGAGTGTCTGCTCTTGGTTGCTATGGTGCTGCCTGTTCTTGGTGCCTTTTCCTTGGCATCGCTTGTTTTGTTCATTTTGTTGTTTTTCTTCCGTTCTTTTAATCACTACATATCAGCGTGAAAGGGGCTGAACGGTCATTCACTGTCCCTGGATGCGTGGCTGAAGTGGGACTCCACAACGCGGATTATTATTGTTGTCGTTGTTGTTGCTGTTTTTGTCGTTGTTGTTAATGTTGTGGCTATTGTTGGTGTTGTTGTAATCGTCGTCGTCGTCGTCCCCGCGACCCAACCCACGACCCGGCCCGCGACCCACCCGCGACCCACCCGAGAGCCACCCGCGACCCACCCGCGACCCACCCTGCGACCCAACCGCGACCCACCCGCGACTCACCCGCGACACGCCCCGCGACCCACCAACGACCCACCCGCGATCCACCTGCGACCCGACTGCAACCCACCAGCGACCCCGCCCGCGACACACCCGCGACCCCGCCCACATTGCCTTCACGAAAGAATCGGCGCTTGCGGCGGGCTCGCTGTACAATGTGAGACAATTAGGCGCCTGCGGCGGGCTTCTTCAGAGCCTCGCAGACTGCCGACGTCCCCGCTGCCCCCTCACTCCTACGGGAGGTTGCGCGGGGAGGGGGTGCAGCGCCTGCATTGTCCTCTGTTGGGAATTCCTTTTTTGGGGGCCACGGGAGGTGTCCCATAACTCCTCCTTTTGCTACTCGCTACTACTCCTGCTCCCCAACTCCTACTACTACTGCATCCCCTCCAACCGCTTCATCGCTCCTCCGTTTCTCCCCTCCGCTCCCCCTTCGTTCACCTCCCATTTGTCCAATTCCTCTACCAACTCCTACAGCTCCTTCCCCTCTCCCACTCTCTCCAACTTCATTTCCCCTTTCTTCCTCCAGCTCCTCCGTTTCCTCCTCCAGTTGCTGCGGCTGCCCCCCCCTGAAAAACCGTCAAACAGAGAAGGAGGAGAACCCGAGTAACCCGATGTTGCAACGCGCCCGCCCGTCGCAAGTGCCCTTCTCGTGAACCCCCTACAGTACTTGGTTTTCGCGGGAAGTACCTCCCTGGAAAGACGAGCGCTCCATGGTCCTGCAATTCAAGCGAGAACCTTGTTTTGACAATAGCCTGCGTCAATGCCTGTGGCCAGACTCTACAGACGACGACGACGACGACGACGACGACGACGACGACGACGACGACGTCGACGACGACGACGACGTCGTAGGATCATGCATTCCAGGGCGAAGTGCGAAACACCATCTTTGAAAAAGGGCCACCCGCATTCCGTGCGAATGACACACCATTTTACACGTTTGGTCATCTGACCAACGACGTACGAACCAACGCCTCGATTTGAAAAAACACCGCGGTATCCGTGAACGTGCTGCACGACTTCAAGCTTGTGACCATACCGTAACATGAAAACTGGAACGAACGCTCGGTTCTGAAAGTAAGCCGTCCCCAACTCGCGTAACTGCTGAAAACCACATGTGCAACAGGAGACGCCCTCCGTCGGTGTAAACGGATGTGCGCGGCGCTGACATGAGGGCAACTATTTGCAAGCTACGTCCGCTCCATCCATGTAACTGATGGAGGCGTTGCCAACGAATGCACGCGGCGCAAATATGATAACCACGCGTTGGAGCCCCGCGGAAGAAACGCGGGCGGCGCTAAGGCCAAAACGGCATTTCGATCCGCCCCCTTCATCCGTACAACTTTTGATGTTCAAGACTTTTTGTTTGTTCCCCCCCCCGTTTCCAGCCTTCGGCCTTCATCTTTAGTTAGCAACTGGCTAACATTCTATATGTTTACTTGGACTCAACTGCTGGCACGTTGCCCGGCTGCAATCGTGTGAGAGCCCGCTGACCATGCACAGTAGGCTTGCCCTCACAACGATTAAAACAAATCTTGCTGCAACCGTTTGAGAGCCCACTGGCCATGCACTGGGCTTGCCCTCGCAACGATTTGAACAAATGCCCTGCACCTTTCTGTGCATAAAGTGGCGTCATGAACGAAAAGAAAAATATGAGCCGAAAAGCCCTGCCGCTTTGCCGACACGTCCGGCCAGGCGAAAAGAAACTTCGCACCGACTGGGAGCAGGGACGGGGGAGGAGGAAGGGAAAGGAGCAGCCCGAGGTATTTAGACTAGCGGTGAGGATTCCAGAGCGGAGACGCTGTCTTCCGTAAAAGAAAAGCGTAATAGGAAGGTTTGAGGCGGAAGGTCTAAGACGCGTCTGAGGCGGGCACGGTGCACTGATCAGGTCGTGGGCTAAGACATTGCAACGGGCCAGCAAAAGTCAGCAACAGGGCACTGGACAAAAAACTACCGTTCGAGTCTGTCTGGTGCTCAAGCAGCTCCGTCGCGCCCTCACAATATTAAGCACGACGTGAGGGCTCTACTAACCGCCCCATTCATACATAGTTGCCTAGCTGCAAGGGGGCAGGTTCCCCTGAGTTCGACGCGCCCCAGGGTTGACGGCCTTCCATCCATCCCATGGAGCACGTTGGCCACCCCGCGGCGCCAGCCGCAAACAAATTTTACTGCGCCAGTTGGAAGGAAGTACTCC